TGTGAGCTGGGAATGTTTGGGGTTGTACATATGCTACAGCCACAATTCCTTGTGTTGCACCTGCAGCAAAAACTGCAACCCCCAGCCACGATCTTCGGCATTGCCACTGCCCAACGCAACCCATTCAGGTAAATGGGGCTGCAGTGCAACCATTCTGCAACCGCGTGTAATGCATCCAGTTGTGGTGCAGTGATGCAGGCTTTACAGGGGGAAAACAGGCTTTAGTGCATTTGGCAAGGCTGTTCACAGGCAATACCAGTAAACGGAAGTCATAAACTCTGTCCTAAAGCTGTACTCTGGGTATAAGGAGATATATCTTTAAACTGGCATCCACTTTGTATAATCCCTCCATTTCAGATATGTAGCAGCTTGAATGTAGGCAATTAGTTTTGTTTCTAAACAGTACTCTCATTTCTCTGTAAATGGATGGATGTAAATGGACATGGCACCCATCAGCCATTTGCAGTTTCTGCTTCTCACGTAACTATACTGATAAGAGTGTAATGTTTCAATGGTTATCCTGATTAAGATGAGCCTGTTGTGTTTCTGTATAACATCTCTTGCTTTGTATTAAACTTTTAGAAATACTGCTTTTACACTTCTGTTTCTGGAGCTTTATTTCTCCCGGATCAGGTTGTGAAATAAGCGAGGACGGGACGGGCTACAGACAGGAATTGATCCTATCACTGAGCTAACAAAGAAGTACCCGGCAGTGGGTCTTCCTCCAGGATGAAATGCTTATATATGCCTAGAGTACCAATAACAAGGGCTTTTATCCAATCCTTCTCCCCCACAGGCTTCTCCCATGCCCCCATGCTATTAGACTAGTGCCACATTCTCTTCTCTAAGGGGCTCCAGTGTTCGCAGTCTGAAATAATCAAGTACATCATTGTTTGGGAGGATGCAGAGGGACCGCCCACAACCATGCGCATCAGGGAGAATAAACTGAACACCGACTGCCATGGGAGTAAGGGATGAGGTAAGTAAAAGTCCTTTTTCATGATATCCTAGGCCGGGTGTCAGCAAACAGCGGCTCCAGAGCCGCATGCGGCTCTTTTTCACCTTTGCTGCGGCTCCGGAGCACACTGCCCACCAGGTGACAGGCAATAGGGTTGCCGTAGCTCAGTGGTCGGCAAGCCGCGGCTCTTTACACATTTTAATGCGGCTCTTCTGTGTGCCGGGCGCCCGCTCCCCCCTCCCTCCTCTCGGGCGGCCGCCCCAAAAGTCAGGACTCTGCAGCTAGCCCAGCAATGGGCAAACTACGGCCCGGCGGACCTTTTAATCCGGCCCCAAACATTGGCTGTCAGGATGTAGGCGGGGCAGCGTGACGAACTCCTCTCCTCTCACAGTCCGCCCTGAAGACCGGAACGGCGCGGGAACACGGCGAGAGGAACGTGCGGAGCAAAGGTAAGTGAATTGACACAATATAAGGGAATGAATTACTATAGGGGGGATGAATTACTATAGGGGGGATGAATTACTATATGGGGGATGAATTACTATGGGGGATGAATTACTATATGGGGGATGAATTACTATATGGGGGATGAATTACTATGGGGGATGAATTACTATATGGGGGATTAATTACTATGGGGGATGAATTACTATGTGGGGGATGAATTACTATGGGGGATGAATTACTATATGGGGGATGAATTACTATGGGGGATGAATTACTATATGGGGGATGAATTACTATGGGGGATGAATTACTATATGGGGGATGAATTACTATGGGGGATGAATTACTATATGGGGGATGAATTACTATGGGGGATGAATTACTATATGGGGGATGAATTACTATGGGGGATGAATTACTATATGGGGGATGAATTACTATGGGGGATGAATTACTATATATGGGGATGAATTACTATGGGGGATGAATTACTATATGGGGGATGAATTACTATATGGGGGATGAATTACTATGGAGGATGAATTACTATAGGGGGGATGAATTACTATAGGGGGATGAATTACTATGGGGGATGAATTACTATGGGGGGATGAATTACTATGGGGGATGAATTACTATATGGGGGATGAATTACTATGGGGGATGAATTACTATAGGGGGGATGAATTACTATATGGGGGATGAATTACTATGGGGGATGAATTACTATAGGGGGGATGAATTACTATATGGGGGATGAATTACTATGGGGGATGCATTACTATGGGGGATGAATTACTATGGGGGATGAATTACTATATGGGGGGATGAATTACTATGGGGGATGAATTACTATAGGGGGGATGAATTACTATATGGGGGATGAATTACTATATGGGGGATGAATTACTATGGGGGATGAATTACTATATGGGGGATTAATTACTATGGGGGATGAATTACTATGGGGGATGAATTACTATATGGGGGATGAATTACTATGGGGGGATTATGAATTACTATATGGGGGATGTATTTTCAGTTTTAAAAATGTGGCTCTCAAAATAAATTTCAATTGTGGTTTTGGCGAGATTTGGCTCAGTTGAAAAAAAAGGTTGCCCACCACTGACTTAAGGCTATGATTGTGATTATGACGATACACTGTAGCTCTGATTAACCCTTTGCTTACTGGGCCCTTAAACCCCCTTCATGACCAGAGCGCTTTTTGCAATATATGCAGTGTCGGATTTGTTTTAAATGTTGCAATGGTTTTGCGGCTCCCAGTCTTTTTTTCCCTTCGGAAACGGGTCCAAGTGGCTCTTTATGTCTTAAAGGTTGCAACCCCTGTCCTAGGCATAAACAAGGAGCCAACTCTTGCGGCAAAGGGGAAGCCCCACTGCAAGGTTATTTTTTGATGATTTTCGTGAGGTTAGGTTTTTTTTGTAATTTCTTTATTTATAATATTTTTGCAAAGTAGCCAAAATACACACAATATGCAGTACAGAAAAGTTATATAGCAAATGGCAGTATATAGGTGAACATAACCAATAATGAAGTAAACAGACAGCAGCATGGTAAAAACCGAGATAGACATGAAAAAAATAAAGTCAAGTGCATGGTACTGTGTGGCCCCGACCAGCTGGTATGTCAATGGTCTAAATACAGGTACCAACAACACAGGCCACATGGACAACCGGCCATCCAAAGATCTCAGACATTTGGAATAGAGAACCCACCAGGGATCTCAGGCAACCAACTAGGTAAAATTATTTCAACAAGGGATTCCCTGTCGATTGGGAAATCAACAAAAAAAACTGACCTCACGAAAAACAAGGGAAGAGGACAGGGGAAAAAGGGAAAGAGGGAAACCAGGAAGAAAGGGGTAAAGGAAGAGAGGTGTGAACAAGGAAGGACCAGACAAGAAAGGATCAATAAAAGAAAAAGGCAGGAAAGGTAGAAAAGGGGAGTGAATCAGCCCTCCCATCTCGGGGACCGGACCAGCAACCAAACTAAGACAAGCCAGACATCCAAGCCCTTCAGTCTGGCTCAGAGGACGCCTGATGATAAGCCGTGAGTTCAGTTTTAGCATTGTTTGTATCAGGTTTGATATTGGGTTACCTCTGTTATGGTTGAAAAAGTTTAAACAGAACTTCCCTTACAGGGCTTATTCTATCTGATAGAGGTACCCATTAAGCTTTTCTGTCTATTCTTCTCTTCCTCTGCCTGATATTATGTTCTTGTTTATGAAACTAGGTGATAACTTCAGCGTGGTATTCTGTAAGCCAAACTAACATCTGATTAGGGCACATACTTTGGCATAAGGCCCCGTTTCTGGGCAGAAAAGCAAAAAATGGCTAGTTTCATTTGTGCTGGTTGACACATGAATTATGAATATGCTATGTTATATGCTATCTCAAACAAAGCTCACTTTATCACTCCTGGTGTGGTGGTAAGCTGCAGAGTTCAGGGAGCAGCAGGGAGACCCAAAAATCCAGCAGCTCAGAAGGCTGTCAAAGCCACAGGTAGGTAAATTGAGGAGCACTTAACCCGTTATTTGAGGCTCTGGACTCATTCGTTGTGCTCATTTAAGACGGATGGTAGTTGACAAACGCTTTGTGTATGAATATGTGTGTGGCCCGGGTTTGATTTTAACTTGATAACATTATCTTATTTTAATGGTGAATGGAGGATTTTTGGCCTACTGGCCTTATTACCTATTGTGATCTCAATAAAGCTGTTAATCTTATTTACACCGCTGTTGGTTCTCTTTTAAACTTCTTTTCTAGGGGGTCCTATTGATCTCCTAACTGTTGTTAGGTAAATTGAGGACCACTCTGAGAATTCACCTTGTCTTACCCCATTTCTGAGATTTCTCCTTAGGGCTTTACCTGTCTATTTGAGAGGAATTTTGCCCATCTACAAATTCAAGTGAACATGATCTTTTACTTTAAAATGATCCTTCTCTTTCAGGAAATCAGTGCGGTTTATTATATTTACATCACATAAATATATACAGCATGCACTATAAAACAAGCCAAAAAAATTATATTAACCACTTAGTAGTGAGGCATTTGCAAAGCCTGTGTTAGCAAAGGTTAGCAGATGCTTACAGTCAATAGTTTAACTAATTCTGATGGCAAGTCACATGCAGTTTTCACAGCTGTCACCACAACCGCTACTAAAAATGACAGTTTTGCCTTAAGAAAATATATTCTTCCTTCACTTCAGCAACAGTAAGATTAGGCAAGGCATTGGGCAACAGCTTCAATGGCCATATCTTGGAGTGTTACACTGCCATCTAGCGGTAAAATGTAGAAAGGACTCATGTTATATATTTTTTGTGTGCGTGCGTGTGCATGTGCGTTTGTGTGTGTTTTTTGAGTAAGCTTTAGTAAGCTCTAACGAGCAGGGCACTCTGATTCATTGTGTGTTGAATTGTATTGTAACTGTACAGTTGTGCTGTGAAGCGCTGTGCAAACTGTTGGTGCTACATAAATCCTGTAATATATATATAGTCGCACCTGTGTGTACCTCAGATTTCTCTATAGCTTGCAACTTTAGTTAACAGAAGTCAATGCAAGTCGCAATTAAATCAGAAAAAAGCAGTGCAGGAACTACTTTTGAAATCACGCTACTTCAGATCGCACTGATTAAGACAGTGCCATATAAGTACACTGCAAGTTCAGGTGCAATTTATAAATTGCATGTCGCATCTGAAGTTGCACCTGTGTGAACCAGGTCTTAGTGTGGTCAGTTCATCTCTGTGAATGGGGGGCTACTACAGGTTCCTGTACTCCTGTGATCAGACTGCTGCTGACATGCCCTGCCTTCTGTTTGAGAGCTACAATGTGCTCAGATCTCTCTGGACATGTTCCCTGCCCAGCCCTAAACAGCTTGAGTGGCAGCGGCTGGGATATATGATGCTGGCAGGCGTTGACGATCATCACTAGTTCACATTCACTTAAATGTTTATATAAAACATATATATATACTGTATGTTTATATAAAACATTATTATTATTATTGATTTATATAGCGCCAACAGTTTGCACAGTGCTTTACAATCTAAAGGAAGACAGTACAGCTACAATACAATAAAATACAAGACGGTTAAGAGGGCACTGTTCATAAAAGCTTACACTCTAATAGGGTTATACAAAGGGTTATAACTGATAAAAGAGTTAAAAGTTCAATTATTTCCAGGGGCGGACTGACAACTCATGGGGCCCCCAGGCAATATGGGATCATGGGGCCCCTGTGTCCTTTCCCAAACTCAAAAAAGCCTATGAAAAAGGTACCAGGGCATCTCATGGGGCCCCCTACTGACCCCGGGCCCTCGGGCAGTGCCCGAGTTTCCAAATGGTCAGTCCGCCCCTGATTGTTTCTCATTTTGCATTAGCCACTAGAGGGGACTCTGTATGTTATTGCTATCAAAAATTCACTTTCCCTTGGGAAACAATTATGTATGTATACATTCTAATATAAAACAGTGCACAGACCTAGCCACTTGATACAATAGGGAGAGAAACTGGTATTAGCAGATGGTTTGTGTTGTTGGGAATGATTGTGCTCATCTCCAGATTCTACTGTCATTCACAACAAACAAGTCACCAGCAAGTAATCCAGTCTCTGTCCTCAGAATAGTAACCACCCTGGTTGTGCTCTGTTCTCTTCAAGTAACTATCATTACGTTGGTCCCTGGGGGCGGTGCTTGTGCAGGCTCTTTTCTGTGTGCACTGTCTGTCTTGCTCCTTCTGCTCTGTGTGCACTATCACTTATAACTACATATCAACGGCGCTAAAAACTACATGCACATGGTACACTGGGGATTCAATAAATATTTTTTGCATTTTTGGTGATACTTCTTTAAGCACAAACTAAATTTCTGTTCTAAATGCAGTTGTTCAGTCTTGTGTGGGTGGATAACACAGAATTACTTTGAAATCTCCCAATTTCCATGGAAATAGCGTCATTTCATAGTTGCATTCAGTGTGAACTAGGGCTAAGACAGATTTGCAATCGTGCCTGGCGTGGTTAGGAGGACACAGGGTGAATGGGACTAGCAGGATCACCAGGTAATTGAATGTATCTCACTACATTTCCAGAAATAGAAAAGGCTTACCATGTTCCTATTTGGGGTCAAAGGAAGCAAATCCCCAACTATCAAATTTAAGGTTCACAAATATTTTAAAACTTAAAGCATGAGCTCAGTAAAAATAAAACAAATCAATTTTCCTTTTAACCGCTTGCCCGCAGAAGTACTGCTACAAGGAGACAGGGCTGCGCAAAATCACGTATATATTTGTATACGTATATATACGTGATTTGCATTTCCGAATAGGGAGCGCATGCAGCCCTACCCATGCCGCTATTGGTGGCTAGACATGTCAATCACTGGGTCCCGGCCGGCGATTCCTGGCCGACACTCGGCGATTGTTGGGTAAAGCTAACAGAGGAGAGACCTGTGTATAAAACAACACAGGTCTCTCTCTCCTGTCAGCAAGAACATACTGCTTTGTATTTCTTTCTTTATTTACAAAGCAGCATGTCTCCGTAGTAAAACACAACACATCACATAATGTAAAACACACACACAGCACACAGTTAACCCTTTGATCTCCCCAGGTGTTAACCCCTTCCTGCCCAGTGCCATTAGTACAGTGTTAGTGCTTTTCATTAGCACTGATCACTGTATTAGTGTCACTGTGGATGTCAGTGACAGTATATACCGTCATTTGTGGATGCTATAACTGTTACGTAAACAAATTAATTTACATGTGTCTGGATTTTTTTTTTTTAGCAAAGACATCTGGCAGAATACATTTTGGCCTAAATTTATGAAGAAATTTGATTTTTAATATATTTTTTTTGGATATGTTTTATAGCAAAAAGTCAAAAATATTGGGTTTTTTTTCCAAAATTGTTGGTATTTTTTTGGTTATAGCGCAAAAAATAAAAACCACAGAGGTGATCAAGTACCACCAAAAGAAAGCTCTATTTGTGGGAAAAAAAGGACATAAATTTCATTTATGTACAGCATTTCATTACCGCTCAATTGTCAGTTAAAATAATGCAGCACTGTATCGCAAAAAATGGCCTGGTCAGGAAGGGAGGTAAATCCTCTGGAGGGCAAGTGGATAAAGTTTACAATTGCATCAAATATTTAACATTTTTTAATTGAGAAAAATTATATTTTATTAAAAATTAAATGCATAGTATAGCCACCCAGTCTGAATAGCATGCTGGGTTTTCCCATAAGACAGCCCTACATTCATTTATTTGGCAGCCTGTGTGTAGATGACTACTGTTGACCATATAATTTTTTTATCAACAGCAACAAACATCTTTTTTCATACAAAATGGTTATACAGTATATTGATCAAATTGCCCATTTAGTTTAATTGACCTCTGGCAGATATAATTTGTTCATATAAACAACTATTGTATTAAACACTTGAACACTTACATACATGTCAAACATTAATCTGGTGGTCCCATCTCTAATAGGAAAAAGTGGGGTGGTGTGTCCCTATTCTAATTCATTCAGCCCTGTCCCCTCCCTCTTCGTATTGGCTCACTGGCTGTGATTGACAGCAGCAGTAGCCAATGGCTCCTGCTGTTGCCTCAGCCAATCAGGAGTGAGAGTCCCTGGAGAACCAAGGCTCTTGTGGACATTGCTGCGTAAGCATGGGGCTCAGGTAAGTGTCAGGAGGGACTGGGGGGGGGGGGGCTGCTACACACAGAAGGTTTTTCACCTTCATGCATACAATGCATGAAGGTAAAAACCATTGAGCCTTTAGAACCACTTTTAGTGCATGTGTAGCAAGTAAATTAGTAAGCTTCACAGAAATGCTATTACTAGGCTACCGCTATGGGGAACTCTAATGATTAATAGTGTGACTTCATGAGACTAAAACCCAACAAGCTCACATTAAACATAAAATGTTCAAGTGAGCACATATGTTTTCTGTTCTCCTCTTGACACAGATTAGTTACACTTGGTTTATGCTATCTTTGTTCAGTTTTTTTTTTGTTCTGACATTCACTTTCTCTGTTTGGTATCATATACGTTAGTAATGGTAACTCTCTAACACAAACCAATGCTTTTCTCCATGCACCTTTGTCATACCTCGCACTGATAACCCTGTAACACATTGGTAGTGGTAATGGTGGACTGTGGTAGTGTGCACTACTGCAGAAATACCCTGTAATAATGGGTTTTTTCTTCTTCCCAAAACAGAAGCCTAATCAACACAGTCACATTACTATTTTTGACCTGCATACATTAAAAAGTGTAGTGTTCTTACCTACTGCATCTATACGGCAGGATAATAATAAACATGACTGATGTTTAAACTGAAGCCAGGCGTCTGTAAACATTTCAGAAACCACATGTGCTAAAATGGATGCCATTAGTGCACATAATGCAACCAATATGTATTGAAGACTATGATCAGGGTTGTTGATGCCCTGACTTAAATTGTATGTAAAGTCAAAATGTTTTTACTCTTTTCAAGGTTTATTTTGCTCAATAAACTCTGGAGAGCAATTAATGTAATTGGCCTTTTAAAAGCAGCCAAGCAGATGAAAGTCAGTTTGAATCTTCCGCTTTCAAATATGGACATAATCATAGTTGATCAATGGCCAAACTGGAATCCCCATAACCTCATTGACCAAATATGGTCATGTCCACAAAGTTATTGCATGGACTATTTATGTAATGGACTATATTTTTTAATTATAAAATGTTTTTTGATTGTTTATCAGATAATAAGGATTGTTCACTTTTTTATTTTTGATTGCAAAATTCTTTGAGTACACCATTGATATTAGAGGTTATTTATATCACAGCTACTAATATGAATAGAGTTCTTTATATTTTTTATTCCATATTTGTTTATACATTGCTGTCATCCATCTTAGCTATCATTTGTGGGTGATCAGTCATTGGGATTGGACGCGTCAGTGGTTGGAGGGTCAGTGTGCATCGTTCATAGTCTCTGACTTGCAATGCATGGCATCTGCATTGCTGGATGACATGAATAACAATGAAAGTGGGACATTTTGTTTTTTTTTGTTTTTGTTGTTTTATCAAAGACTGTACGGGGTTAATTTACTAAAACTGAAGAGCGCAAAAGCTGTGCATGGTAGCTGATCAGCTTCTAACTTCAGCTTTTCAATTTAAGCTTTAACAAAAAAAAAAAACCTGAAAGCTGATTGGTTTCTGTGCAGAGCTGCACCAGATTCTGCACTCTCCAGGAGGTTTGCCTTTTTCTGAGAAAGCTGACTTTTCATTTTCCTCATTATTAGAAAAATATGTTTTGGGACCTGGAGCCCAGAGATTTTGTTGTATTCTGGGTGAGATGAAATCTCAAATCCTGGGTCCATGTTTTATGAACCACCAGCATACTAACTGGTCAGGTGTGTGCTGGACTTTTTGCAGAGTCCTGACCATGATTCTGGGCACTACTCTCTCGAGAAGTCCACGTGTGTGCATAGGAGCAGCCAGAGGGTTGCATGTCTGCACTGGAAAAGACAGAGACCCTAAACTGAGGGCCAGAGCAGCAAGAGGCTGATAGATATGCAGAGAGTGTTGGTGAGAAAATGTTCTGTAGGAGACAGACAAGGGCCTGAAGTGGAAGGCCTAAGCAGCAATGCTGTATGTATAAGCCAGGGGGCTGAATATCTATTTCTTTGCTAAAGAGGATATTTTATTTTGTGTTAATAGTGAAACCTCCTGCAAGGGAACCCCACTGGTTGTGTTTTCTGGAACTTTCTCTGAACTTTCTTTTAAATAAATGTAGTCCAACAAGCCCTTAACTGACAATATCTGGAGTGGACTGTACTAGCTGGTGAACAAACTTCAAGGGGGAACTTGCAGAAAGGTAATCCAAACACCAAAGTATATTTAAGGGCTTCCTGCCCACATTTATTTATCAGCATTGCTGATAAACTTGAAAAAACCAAGATGCTCCCTTGCAGAGGTAACACTCGCAGTCTAAATCCATCAAAAGGTATTGAGTCTCCTGGCTAGCAATGAGACCAAACTGAGTCTGCTCAGACTTGCAGACATGTTCCATCACAGTCCATATGCAACTTTTCCCCAACAACATTCATCCTCCCAGGAAAAAGACAAATTGTATTCAAGGTGGGGAACAAGGTGTGGCCAGTGCTTAATACACATTTGCTGCTACAGAACTTTCACTGCTACCAGTTTATTTTTATAAAATACAAAAATCTATGCAGTAGCTACACTTCACACATGCCCAGGGGCGGACTGAACATTTGGAAACTCGGGCACTGCCCGAGGGCACGGGGTCAGTAGGGGGCCCCATGAGATGCCCCTGGTACCTTTTTCATAGGCTTTTTTGAGTTTGGGCAAGGACACAGGGGCCCGATGATCCCCTATTGCCCGGGGGCCCCATGAGTTGTCAGTCCGCCCCTGTACACGCCTCTCCAAACATCAGCTACCAGACAGTGGGTTCTAAAGAGCACATACACATTTTTCTAAGTACCTTCTGAGGGCCAGGAACCAGTAGGTAATCTTCTTGTACAATATTGTGATATAAAAATCCTTGAATTGCAGTCCTTAGTCTATTATGAGTCGGGAGCAGCACCCCAGCAAGTAGTACCATAGAGCCTTTAAGGCCCACTTAATGGCCACTCTCCCTCCATAATACTATTGTTCCTCTTTGCTGGAGTCAGCTTCTTTTCCACCTACCACGTAGAACAAAGCAACCCCCAGTCCTACACTTGAGGCATCTGCCTGGACTACAAATTCTTTGTTGAAGACTGGGGCTACCAGCGTTGGCTGTCTACACAGGGCCTATTACAAACTTTGAAAAGCCTCTTCAGCCTTTGGATTTTACTTAATCCCTACTGAAAAGCTCTTGCTCTTGCCCTTGGTCAGGTCAGTTAAAGGTGCTGCCACTATGGAAAATTTTGGATAATACCCAACCATGCCCAGAAAGGTTCTCATTTGTTTCTTGGTGACAGGAGCAGACCGGTCCCTGATGGCTTCTACCTTATGGATTTGAGGTTTGATTGAGCCCTGCTCAGTGGTGTATATTCTAGATATTGGGCCTCTTCTAATCTTATGACACACATCTTTGGGTTTTCTATTAAGCCTGCTTTTTGAATGGAATTTAGTACAGCCTGCACTTTAGGTAGTTGACTTTACCAGTCTGTGCTCCACATACAGTTGCAAGAAAAAGTATGTGAACCCCTTGGGATTACGCGGAGTTTTGCATGAATTGGGCATAAAATGTGCTCTAAACATCATCTAAGTCACTACAATAGAAGAACACAGTCTGCTGAACATAATACTACACAAACATTAGATGTTGCCATGGTTTAATTGCACATAACATGTAAACATTCACAGTGCAGGGAGGAAAAAGTATGTGAACCTTTGGACTTAATAATTGGTTGACCCTCCTTTGGCAGCAATAACCTCAACCAAACGTTTCCTGTAGTTGCAGATCAGACCTGCACAACGATCTGGAGTAATTTTGGACCACTCCTCTTCACAAAACTGTTTCAGTGTAGCAATATTCTTGGGATGTCTGGTGTGAATCGCTCTCTTAAGGTCATGCCACAGCATTTCAATCGGGTTGAGGTCAGGACTCTGACTGGGCCACTCCAGAAGGTGTATTCTGTGCTGTTGCAGCCATTGTTTTGTTGAATTACTTGTATGCTTTGGGTCATTGTCCTGTTGCATCACCCATCCTCTGCGGAGCTTCAGTTGGTGGACAGATGGTCGTATGTTTTCCTGCAAAATGTCTTGATAAACTCTGGAATTCATTTTCCCATCAATGACAACAATCCGTCCAGGCCCTGAGGCAGCAAAGCAGCCCCAAACCATGATGTTCCCTCCGCCATGTTTTACAGTGGGGATGAGGTTTTGATGTTGGTGTGCTGTGCCTTTTTTTCTCCACACATAGTGTTGTGTGTTCTTCCCAAACAACTCAATCTTGGTTTCATCTGTCCACAGTATATTTTGCCAGTAGTGCTGTGGAACATCCAGGTGCTCTTTTGCAAACTTCAAACGTGCTGCAATATTCTTTTTGGACAGCAATGGCTTCCTCCGTGGTGTCCTCCCATGTACTCCATTCTTGTTTAATGTTTTCCTTATTGTAAATGTGTCAACAAAAATGTTAGCATGTGCCAGAGATTTTTGTAGGTCTTTAGCTGACACTCTAGGATTTTTCTTTACCTCATGCAGCATTCTGCACTGTGCTCTTGCAGTCATTTTTACAGGACGACCACGCTAGGGAGAGTAGCAACAGTGCTAAACTTTCTCCATTTGTGGACAGTCTGTCTTACCGTGGACACATGAACATAAGGCTTTTGAAGATACTTTTGTAACCCTTTCCAGCTTCATGCAAGTCAACAATTCTTGATCGTAGATCTTCTGAGAGCTCTTTTCTGCGAGGCATGGTTCACATCAGACAGTGATTCTTGAAACCAGTAAACCCAAAACAGGTTGTGTGTTTTTTAAGGGCAGGAAGCTGTCAGCAACACATCCAATATCATCACACTGATTGGAGTCAAGGTTGGCTCACTCCTGGCTCCAATTAGCTCTGAGAGAAGTCATTAAGCTAGGGCCTCACATACTTTTTCCTCCCTGCACTGTGAATGTTTACATGTTATGTGCAATTAAACCATGGCAACATCTAATGTTTGTGTAGTATTATGTTTAGCAGACTGTGTTCTTCTATTGTTGTGACTTAGATGACGTTCAGAGCACATTTTATGCCCAATTCATGCAAAACTCTGCGTAATCCCAAGGGGTTCACATACATTTTCTTGCAACTGTAACTATATCTTCTAGATAGGCCACTGCACAGTGCTGAAGTGGGTTGAGAATTTCATATCTGAAAAAAAGCAACAGGAGCCCCATTCAGCCCAAAGGGCATCTGGACATACTGCCATAAACCCTCTGGGGTCACAAAGGCTGTATTTTCTTTTGCTTCATCTTTCAGGGGACCTGCCAGCATCCTATAGTGAGATCAAGATTGCTTATATACGTGGCTGGACCCAGCCTCTCAATCAGTTCTTCAACTCAGGGCATGGGGTAAATATCAAATTTTGGCATGTCATTCAATTTATGATGTCATTACAAAATCTTAAGGAACCATCTGGCTTGCAAACCACGCTACATCATTCACTTTTATACTTTCCTTTAACCCCAAGATCTAATATTTTCTGTATCTCTGTGGCTACTAATCGTCTGTAGGCTTCTAGAATACGACAAGGCTTAGGCCAACTTCAAACCTGGGTTTGGTGACAATGTCATGTTTAATGATATTTCTGCGGCCTGGCAATTCCAAGAAGAAATCTTTATTTCACTGTAAAAACTCTCTCACCTCTTCTTGTTGCATTACAAACATGGACTCAGAACCTCCCTTATGCCTTCCTCTGTCTTTGAGGGCCTATTACCCAAAACTACAAGGGTTTCTCTATCTTTACAGGCTTTGGTTACATTTACGTGATACTGTAGGTCGGTTTCTTTTTCTGCTTGTCTGGTTGGTGCACCTTATAGTTTATCTCCCCAACCTCTTCCAGCATTTCATAGGGTCCTTGTTACTTAGCTAGGAACTTACTCCATTGTGAGAACTAAAACAAGTACATGATTCCTTGGGTGGAAAGTTGGAAGCTTCACTGAACTAATGTACACTTGACTCTATGCTTTCTGTGCTAGATGCATATGTTCTCGGGCAAAGGGCATTACTGAAGTAATTCTGTCTTGCATAGCCGAGATATGCTCTGTGACAGATGATTTCAGTCTCCGAGGCTTCTTTTGCAATATCTAGCATCCTTCAGGAATGCCTCCCTTACAAAAATTCAAGTGTTTAATGCTCAACAATTTTTCACAACTCTTATTATCTTCAACATAAAGGAAGGCCCTTGATCTGTTAGAATTTCTGTTTGGATCCCTGTGTGGGTAAACATCTGAAAACACTTTTTGGCAATGGTCTTGAAGGAAGTTTTTCTTAAAGAAAAGGTTTTGGGATAACGGCTAATATAGTTCATAACCACTAGGATGTACTGATGGCCTCTAGCAGACTTAACTACTGGCCATTCCAGATCCATTGCAATCCTGTCAAAAGGAACCTCAATCAAAAGGTAATTAAATCAGTGGGCTACGGTAATGGGGCATAGGGACTGACTGTTGACACTCTGGACAAGACTCAGAGTGTTTTTTTCTACATGTATTTTTTTTTTTTTTTTTGCATGTATTCCAGGACAAAAGAAATGCTGTAAAATACATTCCTTGGTCTTTTCACATACCAGATAACCCTCCCCCCTCTAAGGGGATTTGTATGGGCCAAATTCAACACTGTCCTCCTATAAGTGTGGTAGCACCCAGATATTGTAGAGTTCACCTTTAAACTCTAACACTTCTAGCAGCCTCTGTTTGCAAAGCACAGTTTTCAGCTAACTCTCCCCCTCTGTTATTTCCTGTAAAGTAATGTGTACCAGCTTGTAGCTAGTACCCATAACTGTAGCTGCTATTTCAACGTTATATTTTCCAGAGTTTAGAAAGCCTTTTGAGTGTATAGAAAGTGAAAGAAGGAATGTATGCAATGTGACGTAATCATTGGTATATACGCTTGGAAGAAGTAGATACAAATCACTCGGCTTTGCAGGCGTGAGCCCGGCTGGGTCAAAACAGTGCTGTTCTTAATAAACCACTTGTTTTCCTCAAGTCCGTGTCCTGGGTTCCCTGGTTTGCCAAAATTGCTACTACATAAGGGCATGGCACCATGAGTTGTTCCACAACTTTAACCTAAATATTGTCAACCTGATACATCAGGTCGTGATGAACTGTAATATGAGGGAACGCATTCTTGAGACTGGAGCTAGCAGCAGACTCCCATGGTTTACCTTCACATTTTGCCAAGCTTTTGCAAGAGCAGGGTCATGTAACTGGGCAGTTCCAAAGAAGTCCCAAGAGAACTCTAGCTCCAGCACACTGTGCATCCCAAGGGTCTCTGGGGACACCTCCAGTTCACCCACAGAGACTGCTAGGGAAAGAGATACATTTTCACTAGTTGTCACCCCAGCATCATCAACATCACTATATTCAAAGTGGTCAGGTGTGCTTTCCACAGTCCCCATAGATTTTCCAGGATCAGGGTTTTACTTATTCCTGCTGCATTCCCAGAACGAGATGTATCCGAAGCAGCCCCCCCCCCCCCCCCCCAAACCCTCTTGTATTGAACTGTATTGTTGCTGTATTGTCTCCCTTTATATTGTAAAGTGCTGAGCAAACTGTTGGCGCTATATAAATCCTGTATAATAATATAAATCCTGTATAATAATAATATAAATCCTGTATAATAATAGTGTACCTTATTGTAGAAAAGCCTTGCCTCTGTTCATGATTGTACCTAATAGCTTTCCATGCCTGAATATTGCT